TTCCTTCCTTCCTTCCTTCCTTCCTTCCTTCCTTCCTTCCTTCCTTCCCTTTCTTTCAGCCTTCCTCCAGGTATTTTCATTGAAGCAGTTCTAGAAACTATGTCTCTCATCTCAGCTGATTCAGTTTCCGTTTTGACTTTTATTCTTTTACCTTCTTCTGTCCCCTTCATGTATTCCTGCTCTGTTGGACCACCCCTTTGTTTCGGCGTTGGAGCGACCCTTCATTCTGTACAAGGCCTTCGCTAGTTTTTTCATTTAACAACCCTTGTACGAGTGTTCTTACATTCCTTGGTTACCATCCTGTCTTTCTCTATCCCCAGCTTCACCCAAGTTCTGAAAAGAATGGCCTTCCTTTGTCCTCAGCACCTCACTCCATCTACTCTTCCAATCAGTGGGTTCGGGAAGTGGCGTACATGTCGACCCTTGCCTTGACCCTTTGCCAAGCACGTTCTTGTTCAAGTCCAGATTCACGTTAGTAGTTCTCGTTTCATTGGCTTCTCTTTCCATTCGACATCGTTGAAAGCTCTATTTGTAAAGCATTCTTAAAGCTTTTTACTCCCCCATTTTCTTGGTTCCTCTTACTGTGCGTTTTCAGCTCGGTTCTTGGGGGTATGCTTCTTCCGCAGAGGCTTTAAAGGTTGGGGTAACCATCTGTGTTCCTCAGCTCTTCACATGTTTTAAAGAATGTTATTGAATATTGAAGAATTATACCCTCAAATTATAGTATGCAGTTGTAAAAACTGATGCCCAGGGTTGCTTGGTAACAATAGTAGAGGAATTTGAATTGTTTTCTCTGTGTGCCTTCCACAGCTCATCAGTTCATCTGAGCGCCAAATATACCAGCTGTTTCAGGCTTTGTCTCTATTTCCTAAGCCCCTTCGTGTGGTCTAGAATTGGAATGAGGATTGGTCTCTCTTGGTTCTGACTTAATTGTGAATCTTTGAGAAAATGAAGATGTGTGTTAGAATCCTGCCAACTTCATCCTGTTGCTTTATGGCTAATCTCTTCTGGGGTAGGCAGTCCATTTTTAAGCAAGTTTTCAATAAACAATTTTTCTTCAAGGTTAATATAACAGACAAACACCTTTTGCTGCAAGAGTCAGGAGGAGATAATGAAAGATGAGCTTACATTATGATTCATTATTTCAAAATGTCAGGATAAAGTGGGTCTGCCATCTTCTGACTGTCTTCAGAGGAGAGTGCATGGTTGCTTCTCCAAGGCTAATGGACTCACTTTTTTTTTTTGTTTTGTTTTGTTTTTCTCTTATATTTTTCCTCCCAGGTCCAACTCAGATAACCGACGCCAGAGTGGCCGAGAGAGACTGTCTGGCAGCAATGAGAAGGGGAGCATGGAGTCAGCCAAGGAGACACGTTACTGTGCAGTGTGCAATGACTATGCATCAGGCTACCATTATGGGGTGTGGTCCTGTGAGGGCTGCAAGGCTTTCTTCAAGAGAAGTATTCAAGGTAATAGTGTGTTGTCAAAACAGCATTCTATTTGTGATCCTAAAAGCAGAAGAGAGTGAGGAAGGAAGACATGGTCAGCTATTTGTACAAAACGTTACTAGCACTCAGTAGGTTCCTCCGTTATCCTTGGAAGAAATGTAGAGAAGAGAGGCAGACTCTCAGGTCGAGTGGACCTGCCGAGGCATTAGTGGCTCAGGATTTCTGCTTCCTCCTGGCAAAAATCAAACAGCCTTGAGCACTTCCAAAGAAGAGTTGCAGTAACTGGGCTGCTGGGGCTCAGAGAAATGTCTCTACCCTGACTCAGGGATGGCAGGTGATCAATCTGGTTCTGCAGCCAACTTATCTTCTGTGATTTCGTGTGATATTGTCTGCGCATAATTATCTCTCTGCCTTGGCCTTGGCCAGGTGAATATTCTGTTCTGATCTTTGCTCCAGACCAATTCTCATTCAGTTTGTTCTTTTCCTGTCTTAGATCTCTTTCTAGTCTCAATGGATGACATGACCTTTTGCTAGCATGAACACAGTCAATGTCTGGTGTCTTATAGCAGGGATGTTTCATCTGTACCAAATAGTTTTTAAGTACCAGCTGTAACATTTGATTCTCCTGACTGCCTCAATCTCTTTTTGTATGTAGTTTACCAAGTACATTTTTTTTGATATACCACCAGCTGGATTTTATTTCTACTTTAGAACATTAGTGTTACTGCATTATATAGCATTCCTTTGGAAAATATCAGTTATTTTTACTATGTAAGGTATCTATCCTACAGACCTTTGGGCAGGAATAAGAGTCTGGCTGCATTCTTGGCTTTCGGAATTTACCTTTGTCTTAGTAGTGAGATATTTTCCTCTCTTACTTTGCCTTACTCCTTTACCATTATAGCTTAAGTGGAGCTTAGTACATAAATACAGAGAATACTTCTGTGGAAGTTTTTGTGTAGTTCTTTCTACAGATATCTAGGCTTGAGGAACTTTTTGAAAATCAGAACCTACTAGATTAGCAGACACTGACTGAAGACATGACTCTTGGGAGCTTTCTGTGGTGGCTCTCACTGCTCTGATTTGGGGGATGGTATAGACTGTTTCTTTCCTTCCAGTGGGTGGAGGATTTTTTTTTTTTTAAAGCTGTTCATATCTTAATAGAGAAGCCTGTGAGGTCAATGTGGTCCATTTTAAAAGCATTTTCTTTGACACTTATTGCTTTCAATTCTTTTAGAATTCTGCCGTGAGACTTGGACAATTTTTTGTCTGTGTTTTTATAAAAATTAATGATATTCTCTATAGAAAATCTTTGTGTGAATCTGTGTCTTTGAGTGCATCGCACACAGACTATTAATTTTATTGGCTGATACCATCTTAATATTTTAACAGGTCTTTTGACAAATATTTTAGTTTGTAGTTTTACTCTTTATTTGATTTCATAAAATCTAAATTATTATTATTTTGCCAATAATACACTTACAAAAGTCAATGAAGAAAAGGTAAGCTTGTAAAAAAAAATATGTAATTGAGGTTTGGGAAGATAGTTAGTAGAGAAAGTGCTTGCCACACAAGCTTGAGGATCAGGATTTGGATCCCCAGAATCCACATTAAAAAGTCGGGCAGGTGTAGTGGCTACCTGCAGTCTCAACACTCATGATGCAGAGGCAGAGCATCCCCGGGGCAAGGTGGTTAGCTAGACTAGATGGAATTGGGAACTCTGGTTTCAGTGAGAAACCTGCCTCAATAAAGAAGTTGAAAGTGTTGAGGAAGACACTTGATGTCGACTTCAAGCCTCCACACACACCTACTACATAAGAGCACATACACACATACACATACACGTGTCCACACACATGATTACCACATACACATCCACATACTAAAGTATGTATTTTGTTGTGGAATTGTCTCAAGTTCAAAATATTTTTAATTTTAAAAATTTTAGAAATTTTAAATATTTTCAATATATTTAAAATTTTTCCTGCTTGCCTTTTGGTAGTTGAAAATAGGTCATCTTTTCATTGGTAGTGCAAAAGTATCTGAAAAAGATATAATTAATGGATATGCTCAGCTATGCAACTGAAGAAGCCATTTAGTGAGACTGAATTCTTCTATCAATAAATATGATTTAGGGCAGCAGTTGACACAGTTTTTATTTAAAGGGTAAAGCAGCTGTTTTAACCTTTACAGGCCATACTGTCTCCTTTGCTGCAGCTCAACTCTAGCAGTGTAACCAATATGCAAATAAACAGGAGTGGCTATATAGCACAATATGCAAATAACCAGGAGTAGCTGTATGAGACAATATATGCAAATACGTGGGAGTGGCTGTGGGAGGCAATATGCAAATGAGTGGGAGTGGCTATGTGCCCAAATAATTTTATAAAAACAAGTAACTTACCAAACTTTCCTGTGGGCTATAACACGTCAATCTGTGAGTTAATTTTTATTTGAGTTTATATAATCTAAATGCCATTATTTGTGAAAGGAGACCTAAAAGTAGGTGGTTTTAAAATTACAAGTTTTCTTTTTTTTATGTTTTATAGATAATTTAGTCTGTATTTGTGTAGATATTCTAGGGTGAATTTAAAAATGTATAAGCCAAAATTCATAATTCCACAAAATTTGAGTTTATATGGGAAACGAGAGATAATTTGTTCTTTTTTTTTTTTTTTTTTTTTTTTTTTTTTTTTTTGACAGGGTCCTGTATCCCCAGCTGTCCTGGAACTCACTATGTAGACCAGGCTTGGCTTGAACTCACAGAGATCTGCCTGCCTCTGCCTCCGGAGTGCTGGGATTAAAGGTGTGCACCACCATGCCTGGCATAACTTGTTCTTTTGATAAAATTAGAAAATAAATATGTATAGATACAGTGTCACCTGGACAAACAAACCAACAGTAGATAAATACAAGTGAAGAAAATATTGCAGGTTGTAAATTTAAAACCCCACCAAGCTTTAAGTATTAAGGCATCAAAGTGAAAAAAGAAAAAAGAAAGATACACTTACAAAAAAAAATCAATGAAGGAAAGATAAGCTTATATAAATAGACATTTTATTGGTATAACATTATCTCAAGGTCAAGTATATTTTCAAAATTTTGCTTACTTTTTTGCTAATTAGAAATATGTGTCTTTAGCCAGATGTGATGGCACACACTTATAATTCTAGCACTCAGGAGGCAGAAGGTGGATCTCTGTGACTTGAAGTCAGCCTGGCCTACACAGTGAGTTCTAGGCCAGGCAGGGCTATGATGTAAGACCTTGTCTCAAAAATGTAACTTTTATGTCTGTCATATATATATGTAAGATACTGCTATAATATGTTAGTATAATATATTATATATAATGTAATATATAATATAATATATTATGCTAAATAGTAGAATTTCACCAAAATTATACCATATGGGTGCAATTTTTACCTGATTTTAGAAATTTCTTATGCATTAAGGTGTGTTTATATATGAAAGGTTTCTTAAACAGGGTGAATATTGAGTCCAAAGTTCTAAAAGAAGTCCAGAAATAAGGCTGAGTTTTAGAGAACGAGGGACTTTAAAATGATCACAGTCACTAATGTAGCCATTTATTTATTGAATACTTGTATGCAAAGCACTGTGCAAAGCCCTGGAGACATAATGATGGAAGATCTGTCCCTCTTCTCATTGAGTTTATTTAGTAGAATTAGAAAGGAATAAATAAACAAGCAATTTTTAAATTACAGTATGACAGATGTTATGGTGGTGGGGGGGTGAGTGAGGAATGTCACAGGAATCTAAACTTCACTCAGTTCTGCAGAGGCGGGAAGTAAGGCTCTCACAGAATGTTTACAGATAAAAATTAAGTCTGAATAATGAGTCAAGAGAGCGAGGTGAAAGGAGCAAAGAATGAGGGTTATTCATATGAATAAATATGTGACTGAAATCCAGGAGGAAAGAACATGTGGAATCCTGCTAATAAAAATCAACAATATTAATTTGCCATCAGTTTGAACAATGCTGTTCTTAGGCTATGCATTTAATCTGAGACTGTGTCCATGAGGAATGATTGATTTCTTTTCCAATTTCATGGCACTTCTATATATTTCATTTGTTTCTAACTGTACAAAAGAGCCAGGCAAGGGTAAAGGTTTCTAGGCCTGTTTTCTCACCAGAGTCTTGATAACTTGGAATAAAAAGTTTTCCTGAACTCCTGTGGCTCTTTATAAATCACAGTGACCCTCAAACACATTTAAGGACAGTGAAGGGTCTGACTCGTGGGTGGAAAGTCCTGAAGATGCTGAAGCTCTGCTTGTTTTCCTTGTTACTTAAGAAGAGAGCTAGAAATGAGTATACATCAGATTATTCTCACGCTCTAAGTGTTTTGGTTGAAGAGGTAAAGTGTTTGACTTGAAAGCACACACATTTTCATCCACTACTTGTGTACAAACACTATTACTTAAGGAATTGAGTAATGGCTTCCAGTTGAATATATTTTTTAAAAGCAAAGTCAAGGATCTTGTTTAAGTCAGAGGGATGAAATTGCATATTCTATGAATTTATTAATAATTGCATGCATAGAACTATGTCTTTAGACAGAAACTATGCACTGAATTGCATAAGCTGGTCTGGTTATAGCTTCAGCAATCAGATTACCTTGAGTATTATTGCAAGGAAAAAGAGTTCTACTGATTTTATTGTTTCTCTTCCATTATGACTCCAGAAGGCCATTGACAGTGAGGGCCTAGCCTATTGACCCACTATTGAACCATTCTATTCACGTTCTGACAAATGTGTGTGGAAGTTGCTCAATTTGGCCCCAACATACATGGTGAAGTCAGGGATTGGCTCACAGGGTAACTGGGACCAAGAGGACATGGTTTTAAGGTTGCGTCTGGTTCAGGTTTAGTCCAACATGGATAACAGAGCTTGAGCCACTTGGGCTTTAGAATGCTGCAGGGTGAGGCTGGCCAGCACCCTGGATAGCTCCTGAAACAGCTGTGGAGGGGACTTCATTAGCCGGCTCCATGTTTTAGAGTTCT